AAAATTTACCTCTATAATCTATTACATAGCATATTCAGAAGGCAGACTTGGTAATTGTCTCAATGGATATTTCAAAATCATTTGATACTGGGCTGCCTAGGTGATCTAGGCGATTCTGATCTTTAAACAGAAAGAGTGGCAGGAGAGCAGTTGTCACAGCACATTAGGATGTGTCACAAAGTCCACAACATTCACTTAGAGCAAACTGACTAGTGAACGTCCGGTTGCCTGGAGAGACATTAACGTTCGAGTTAATGGACAGACAACAGTTTAATTACTGACAAATAGAAACTACTAGCCTGGCTTGATGGTACTCGTGAGGTGGAGTTAGGAGACTCTGGAGTTTGGGGTCATCACTGGCTATGTGGTGAATCCCAGGCAAGGCCTGAACTCCTTGCCTTACATGAGACTCTCTCTTTCAAAATCAAAACAGAAACTACTATCACCACCGTGGTGGATTGGATGCAAAATGCTCCCTATATAGAGGCCATGTGGCTGCACACTTGATCGGCTGGTAGTGATTTGGATAGGCTGTTGAACCTGTAGAACAGGAGCCTCACCAGAGGAAGTAGGTCCCGGGGGGAGAGCCTTGAGGTTTTATACCGGCTCTCACTTCCTGTTTGCTTTCTGCTTTTTTAGTATGGGCACTGTGTGTGTAGGCATTTTGGACGGATTGGATGGGATAGGTATCCTGGAGCTCGGGAGTCACAGAATACTGAGTGTTACACAGCTCAGATGGAAAGGTGTCCTGGAGCTCGGGAGCCAAGAACTACCACAGGTTGTAGTAAGCTTAGCAGCTTACAGCCTTGCCTCAGGGAAGGGCTTCCCCAGTGTATTGGCTCCGCTCTGGCAGGACAGGGTCTTTCAGCTGGGGATGTTCGCCCAGTGTAGCAGTTTTGCTCTGCAGAAGGTTTCTTGGGTGAAGTTGCAACAGTTCAGCACTGCTCCCGGAGAGTAGAGAGTGGAGAGCGGAGAGAGGAGTGTAACAACTCCTCTCTGCCAAGGGAAGGTTTCCCCAGCAAAAGTGTTACAGCCCTGCTCTCTCTGCTCTGCCCAGGGTCATCTCTGCTCCCCCGCTGCCACAAAAGAAGATCTTCACCCAAAGCTCATCCAAGGGGTTTATTGGGAGGGAAGAATCCAGGAAGTGGCTGTCCTCTGCCACAGTGGCAGAGGACAGACAGCCTGGTAGGGAGAACAGACAGAAGCGGAACAGACACAGGGGTTATATAGGGCTTCGAGGGTGGGGATTGGTCAGATTTTAATGCTGAGATCAGATTGGCTAGAGCTCTGCTCCAGGATTGGTTGGTTTTCTGCACAGGATTAGGGTCAGATTTGGCTCTGGTTTCAGGGCCGACGTGTATTTCTTTCTCTGATCCTTTTTAGCCCTTTGGCTCCAATTTTAGGGCCAGGGTGCATTTCTTTCACTGACTCTGATTCCAGGGACAAAATGTGTTTCTTTGAGACTGGTTTCAGGGTCAGAGTACATTTCTTTGGTTCTGATTGCAGGGCCAAAGTGTGTTTCTTTGGCTCTGCTCAGGGTGTTTTTCTTTGACTGGTGCCTTTTCCCTACAGTGTGGCCACTCAGGAGGCCACCATGCTTTCTCTACCTGATATCACATCTTCACTCACAGGAAGGACTGCATCCCCCTTGAAACTGTAAGCCTAGAGAAGCCCTCTCTGAAGGACATGCACGTGGTATGTATTAGCAACCTGTCTGGTTGCTGTGGTAAAACACCCCGAGAAAAGCTCTCAGCTTGAAGCACAAGAGCTTCAAGTCGCATCATTTCTATGATCAGGAAGCAGAGTGATGCATGCTGGGACTTAGTCACATTTTTCTGTGTATTCAGCCTGGCGTTTAGGCTGGGTCTTCCCCACAGGTAACCTAATCTAACAATCCCTCACAGATACCACCAGAAGCCTGTTTCTAGACCTTGTCAAGATGACAAGGAGGGTTGACCATCACACACAAGGGGATGAGTTATGTGTGATTTATACATGAGGCTAAAATAGTCCCGCCTCCCCATGATTCTGAGCTCCTCCCAGATAGGCCAAGAAGCTCCAGCTTTCAGGAACTGTAAAATCATGTTTATGAAGCATCAGGCTCCAGGAAAGAAATGTCAGGTTGGTTTATAAAGCTTATGGGAGAAGAAGAGTCTTATTTCTCATGGTTCATATTTGGAAGCAGGAGACCTTGGTTCATCCTTAATTTCCATTGTCTTCAAAGAGAATTCAGGGCAAACTATCTCTTTGTCTTCTATATCATTAGACAAAAGATGTCAAGTGTAGGTGCTCACATCTCCAAGTCAACAATGTAATATAGTGCTTTTAAAGGGCTACTGTAGGGCCCAGAGAGCTCAGTGGTCAAGAGCTGCTCTTCCAGAGGACCAGGTTCAGTTCACAGCATCCAAATGGTGGCTCAAAACAATCTGTAAATCCAGTCCCAGGGGGATCTGATACGCTCTTCTGACTTCTGTGGGCACTGTATACATGTAGTATATACACATAGACACAGACAAAATGCCCCCCACACACATATTTTTGATGAAAAATAAAACAAAGGACTAATGCATATTGATCCTAGCTTCTAGATGAAACTGGATAAAACAGAGCCCAGGCGATAGGCATTATCTAGAATGCTATGAGTCAGACCTCATGTCCAATCTCCAAAGTGAATTCACCGTGTTCCTGCTTCTTTGGGGCACTGGCAAAAATATTAAAGATAACTTACAAGCAAAAAAATTGAATTTTTCAATTTGGCAAAGTTTTTTCACTCATGAATTATTAATCACACTATCTAAAAATATTTTTCATCCAAGAGCTCCAAAGCATTAAGCAATATAATTCTGCTTTCTCTTCAGACTGGCCTGTCTCAGTGGTTAAAGAACAGTCAGTAGGCTGACTACTTACTCCTCACATACAGAAGCGAAGGCATTGCTGTCTATCACCATAGAAAACTTGAAGATGGTATTTGAAAACACGATGATATCAAAACCTTTTCAAAGAAAATTTTCTGAAAGATAGATGCCCAGGCATCATTCAACCCTGGTGAGAATGTAGACCAATGGTCTGTACCCATTAGGGGAGACAAGGGTGATTACATTCTTTGGTCTTTGAGGGATTTATTATATTCAAATCTACAGAGTGTTTTGGGACACGAAATTTGAGTCTCTTGAAACTTTAAATATGCTACATGCAGTGGTTTAAATGAGAATGTACCCCAAAGGCTTAGATGTTTAAATAGTTGGTCTCCAGTTGGTATAGATGTTTGGGATGCTTAGGAGGTGTGGCTTTGCTGGAGTAAATATGTCACTGGGGGACTTGGAGAATTCTCTTTCTCTTTATGTCCTGCTTGTCACTCAGGCAGCTCTTCCTGCTGCCACAGTCACCTGCCATGATGGACATTATCTCTTTGGAACCACAAGACCAAATACGCTTTTCACAAGTTGCCTTGTTCATGGTGTTTTTGTTTTTTCACAGCAATGCTTTAAAATGCTATTTTAGGATTTGCCTTTTTGTCCTTGAGACAGAGTTTCTCTACATATGCCTGGCTGTCCTGGAACTCAGAGATCAGCCTGCCTCTGCCTCCTTAGTGCTGGGATTAAAGCCATGAGCCACCACACCAAGCCATTTTGCTTTTCTAAAACAGGGTCTCCCTATGTCATCCTAGCTGGCCTGGACTTTACTGGGTAGACCAGATGGTCTCAGACTTGCTGTGTTCCTCCTGTCTCTGTCTCCAGAAAGCTGGGCTTGTAGGCATGTGCTTCTACACCAGGTGAAATATGCTGCAGCTAGCTGACCTTCAAGTCACAGAGCATTGTCAGCCTTAGGTTGTTTACCAAGAAGTGCCAGAGAAAAAAGAAAACTGTTTGTTCAGCAAAACACTCTAGACTACAAAAAAATGAGAGGAAATACTGAGAATAAACAGCACATCATTTTTATCTATGGGATAGGAAGTTTTTATTTATGGGAAGGAAGTTTTAGTGGGAGAAGGAAAGGGAGAGAGAGGAGAGAGAAGACAGATAAGAAGAGAGAGACAGAGGGGGGCTGTCTCACATTGACTTCCTCCCTCTCTTTCTCCCTCTCCTTTCTCTAGAAATTCTCAGTGTTCTTCCAATGAGCTACAGCCCCAGCTCTAACCTCAACTTGCTATGTGAACAAGGATGACCTTGAAGTCCAGGCCCTTCTGTCTCCAATTACAGGTGCAGGGGATATGGATTTATACCACCATATCTGGCCTTAGAACCTGCTTTTAAACAATTAGAAAATAAAATGATAGTAAAAAAGAAAGAACAGATTTCAAGATTCTTACTGACATTTATATTACTAAGGCCAGAACCCTTGTGGTGGTTTGAATGAGAACAGCCTTCATATGCTTATATATTTACCTGCTCAGTCCCCAGTAGAGGAACTATTTGGTAAGGATTAGGAGGTGTGGCCGTGCTGGAATAGATATGTCCTTATTGGAGGAGGTATGTCATGGGGGGGGGGGAGAGGGGAGAGGGAAAGATAGATTTTGAGGTTTCAAAAGCCTACTCCTGGCCCAGTGTCTTCCTCTATGTGTCTGATGCCTGCAGATCAGGATGTAAAGCTCACAGCCACTGCTCCAGTATGTCTGTCTGCCTGCTGCTTACCTATGGTGATATCTTGCTTGTACAAATAAAGCCTGAGTTTGGTTGCATTAAGGACAAACAGGAGATTTCCTTATAATGCCCTTGGCTTGTTGCCAAGTGATAGAAAAATCTTTTCTCAATCCTTTGCTATTGACATGGTGTTTCTATGAAATTCTGAAGCCTTTAGCACATTTCCTATCAATAGTTGATCAATTTCATCTTTACCTTGTGGTAGAGGGCCTGGCAGACCTGTATGGGATCAGATGTCTGTTATACATATGGGATGATTCCTGTCCCTGATTATGTCTTGCAACTGAATAAATAATAAAGTCAATTCTGCATCATCTGGTAGAAATTCTGCGGTTTCAATATGTAAAACAACTCTTTCTGGTGCTTGCTTTCTGCAGCACATGTACTGAAATTGGGATGATACAGAGAAGATTAGCTCCCCGTGCAAGGATAACACCCAAATTTGTGAAGTGTTTCATAATTTTAAAGAAAACAAACATTTCTGACATTAATGCCAAAAAAAACCCCACAACTCTTTCTGCATACTCTGAATCAGTAACTATGTTGAGAGGTTCTTTGTGATGCATTAACAATCCCCCCCACCATGATGATAATGGACTAAACCTTTAAAACTGTACTCAAGCCCTAGTTAAGTGTTTCCTTTTGTAACAATTGCTTTGGTTATGATGTCTCTAAATAGCAATAGAACAGTAACTAAGACAAACCCTAATATAAGGATAATTTTGTTTAAGGAAATAAAGACTTTTCCCCCCAGAGACCTGATTTACTCTTAATGGGAAAGATTGAGATAGTAGATCTAAACTGAATTGGATATAAAACTATTGGGGATTTTCTTTTTTCTAGAAATACCCTATGGCTGGGAGAATCAACTGGAGCATATGAAAGATTTCAGAGACTGTACTCAGTGTGAACCTACTGCTTACCCCAATCCAGAGTTGGAGCTGATTGCCAGGGGCTAGCACTCTGTTCACTAGAAGCTGCAGTGAGGTGGCTTATCCATGGCACACGGTTGCATAAGGGAAGGAAAGATGGCCAATAAAAGTCAGAGTGACATTGCCATAATAATGAGAAACATTATTTACGTGGATGGTAAAATACAGCCAGCCACAAAGCTCTGAATTGTGCTAGGGCTAGAGAACACATTGGCTACTTGGAACTGTCAGCTTGATACAACCTAGAATCATCTAGATTGTGAGAGAGTCTCAAAGGGGGGACTCTCTGGATTAGGCTGGCCTTTGGACTATCCTGAATATGTTGATATAGGAGGACCCACCCACTATGGGCGGTACCACTCCCTAGGCAGGGGATGGTGCTAGGAGCAGAGGAAGTGAGTGGAGCACTAGCTTGTATTGCTCTGGGTTTCTGGTTGTGGAAGAAATGTGACCAACTTCCTCAACTCCTGTATCTGTGACTTCTCTAATATGAGGGACTGTTACCTGAAACTGGAGTAGAAATAAACCCTTAGTGCCCTAAATTGCCTTTGTTGGGGTCCTTAAACACAGCAACAGGAAATGAAAATGAGTCAGTGGACAAGGACAACATTAATGCAAAAGGCTTTATCACCATAGCGTATGAAATATAGGATTTGGCACACAACGGACAAATCTATATTGAACGAGAAACTTTGTAATGGTATTTTCTAGCCATCCATTTTGTCATAGTAATTGTAATTTTATCTTAAAGAGAGGATCAACAATAGGGTATCAGTATATCAAAAATCACATGTCAAATAATAACCATTTTTCTTGGTTTCTGAGACAGCATCACCCTGGGCTTCACCTTGCCAGAGCTGATCTTGAACTCCTGTTCCTCCTGGCACCAGGAGGGACAGCAGGTGTGTGCTCCCACACCTCGAATGTGGCCCCTTCCTTTCCTTCCTCCCACCCCAGTTTTCTTACTCTCTTTATCGTGGGTGTGTTCATGTACGTGAGTGTAGATGCGTGGATGCCACAGTAACTAGAGATGTCACAGGATAAACTCACTCACGTCCATGCCTTCCGCTTTGAGACAGGGTCTCCTGTCATTTACCGTAGGGCATGCCAGGCCAGAGGGCCCGTGAGCATCTAGAGAGTCTCCTCTCTTTGCTTCCCATTTTGACAAGTGCTGGGATTTCAAATTAGTGCTATTGTGTCTGGCTTTTTGTGGGTTCTAGGGATGGAAATTCAGGTCCTGATTGTAGAATAAGCACATTCCCCACTGAGCTATATCTCCAGGCTCTCCTTACTGTTTTTTTTTCTTTTTTAACTTTTGTGTTTATTTTTACTTACATTATTCAGCAGGGTGCCTTTAAAAATGTCTTTCTACATGAAAGGTAAATATGTTTAGAGAAAGCAAAAAGAATTTTCTATCTCCATGTACAGGCTTCTTTTTAAATCTCTTGCTCTCTTGCTTTCATATCTTTCCCTATTTTCTGGAGACTCAACTAAGCTCTGCATGGGTAAGAAAGCAACTGTTGGGAAAAGATAACCTGCACCTAGTTACCATGGCAAAAGGCTCCGTGAAATTAGATGCATATGCACTGGATGTTGGTAGACTTTAAGACGGGAAAACGGGGTGTTTGGTACATGTGTTATCTCCTTCTGTGATGACATAGCTTCCCGAGCATCTCTAGGCCCTACAGCTTCTCTGCTCACAGTGTTTCCAGTAGTGTAAGTAAGAAAGACACAAGAATGTGGTTCCGGTTCTACAGACAGAATTCTCCCCATCTGGTGCTCTTCAGAAATCAGAGTTCAAGGCAAGGTGAATGAGGAAGTAACTTTAGCTGGTGGACCTTTCTAGAGCTCAAGCCAGGCCGAGATCTCTGCTTGAAGAAGGAACCGTTGCAATCCAAAGAGTCAGGGTGTGTGCTCCTGGGGCTACAGCACAGATACAGGGGAGGTACAGAGGAGGTGCAGGGGGAGGCTATGCTTTACTAGTGGTTTCCCAACAGTCAGGATCACCTGGGGGAGTGTTTAAGACGCTGCCTCCTGGGTCTGCTCCCTGTGACCCGAGTGGGCTCTGGAATTGGGCGGCAGTGAATCTGTGCCCAGCACTGTTGAGCACAGGTATTATTTTGAGCCTGCTTATTATTTTGGATGCTTGTGTTTGAGCCATCATTTCAGCACTATTCTTATTCATTCAGCCATCCTACTCCTTAGGTTCTGGACTATTTTCATAGGTGAGGAAGCTGAGGCTGAGAGTTTAAATAAGCTGGCCTACTCAGACTTAGATCTGCTTCAGGAACCTTCTTAATCCCTATATTTTTTTTCAATCTGGATATGTAATAATGCAGATATACCCAAACTATAAGTTTTATTATTCCTATTCAGCAAAAATTCAGGTGCATGCAAATTTTGTTCTAGTTTCATTCTCAAAGAAGATAAACACACACACACAGTCTCAATACATACTCTAGGATGACCTTGAAACACTGACCTTTCTGCCTCAGGCTCTCCCAGGTTTAGGATTACAGGTGTGGGTGACCATAGCCAGTTAAGCTGTTGAATTATACTTGACTCATCCCTAGCAGAAATAATAACATTTTGCCTCATTGAAAACAATGGCTTCCTACTTTCTACTGACAAGAATGCCTAGGTTTTAGATTCTAAGCCAAGGTCTCCAGGATTTTGGATATATATGCCTTAGGAAATTCAGAGAATCAAAATTTGGGAGACCCTGGAATGGTCTATGTAGAAGGATATTTAACACCAAAGTCTGATGGGAAGGGGAGCCACATTTTCCTCAAAACCATAGTTTTGTGTTACCAAGGTCAGAAATATTGGCTTATCCTTTAAGTTTTTCTTCCATAGGAAGTCTTTTCACACAAGTGAAATATTTTAATCTTAGAAAACCAATTATGCCGTTTGCTCAACAAAACTATTATGGTTTGTACAGGCAGGCTTCTGGAAAAGCCAACTCTTGGGAAGTTGGTGGTTTAGAATGCCAGCTCTTACAGATGATACACTTAGACTAAAACACAGACATATCTTAGACAATGTTAAAAATAAGAGTGTGTCTGAAATTCACGTATCGCATGCCTCCGTGCACTTCCTGAACCCACCCGAAGCTGACTCCAGTTTCCATCCTGGCTGTAGAAGTGGCGCACTCCCTTTCCTAAAGAGACTGGGCTCCTACCTCCATCAGGCAGACGCCCTCATCAGGAATCTGTGTCAGCAGCAGTCTCTGTCCTTCCTCCTTCTAGGAGCTCTGGGCCCTTTTTCAATAACGGTTGTCCGCCCTCTCCACACGTGCCCCAGGCACAGAGTTAGTATTATCTTTAATAAGGCTCAGCAGATTCATGGAACTGGTCAGAGGTGAAGCTGAGTCAAAAGTTGGACCACACAATGATTTTTGATGTTTTCTTTCTTACTTTCCATTAATACACCAATGACTGAAAATACCTCAATCTGAGGAAGCCACTAATTTTTTGTGTGGCTGAATATGCATGTTTACATGAACACATTCGTGTGGTTATGTGTGCATATGGCAATCTTTGGTCTTTTTAAAATTTTATTTATTTTTATTTCATGTGCATTGGTGTTTTTGCCTGCATGTATGTCTATGTGAGGGTGTTGGATCTCCTGGAACTGAAGTTACAGACAGTTATGAGCTGTCATGTGGGTGCTGGGGATTGAACCCAGATCCTCTGCAAGAACAGTCAGTGCCCTTAACTGCTGAGCCCTCTCCCCAGCCCCAATCTTGGGTCTCTTAATGCTTTGGTACTCAATGAGTAGGCCAGGCTGGCTGGCCAGTGGGTCCCAGGGATCTGCCTGTCTCTGCCTCCCCAGTTTTGGGATTGTAAGCATGAGCCACCACTGGTAGCTTTTGTGTCTGTTTTAGTGTATGTTTGAAGGATCAAACTCAGGTCCTCATGTCTGTAGCAATCACTACAGAGATGTTTCCCCAGCCTAGCAGACAGTGGTTCCGAGAAGCCTGACCACGGATGCAGCATTAACGCTTACAGCCCCTTTCTGTTCCCCTTGGTTATGATGAAGTTGTGCTGGAGTTCACTGGTCCTCACCTCAGCTTTTCCTTACCCACAACCCCGGCTTCCCCAGACAGCCTGCCTGAACAGGAAGTTCTCTCTCCCTGTCAGACAATCAAATGACAACAGACGCCAGCTATCAGGCGCCGTTGCTTTTGGCAGAGGCTTGTGAGTGGATGTTAAAGAAACACCTGCCTTTCTGAAATGCAATGTCTAGGTGCCTAGATTGGCATCTAGAACGAAGCTTCAACGGTAGCACGTAACAAGTTGTTGCGTGAATTCACTGTATGCTTCAGCTTCCGTCTTGTTTCGGAAGAGCCCAGGAGAGAGAAAGGAAGTGTTAAAACACAGCATTGCCGCTGGAGTAATGGCTCAGTGGTTAAGAGCTCTTCCAGTAGTGCCAGGCTCAGCCTACACGTGGCAGCGCACAGTCATCTGTAACTCCAGTTCCTGAGCAACTTATGTCCTTTCCCGGCCTCCAGGGGCACTTCATGAATGCGG